GAAACTTTATTTGTAGATGATATGATAATGTATAAGAAAAATCCAAAGTATTCTAACAAAAAACTACTATAACAAGAGAATTTTAAAAGACTGAAGGATACCAAGTCAATATAAAAAAAATCAATTCTGGGGCTGGCCCGGTGGCCCAAGCGGTTAAGTGCACGCACTCCACTATGGCGGCCCGGGGTTCACCGGTTCGGATCCCAGGTGCACACCAATGCACTGCTTGGCAAGCCATGCTGTGGCAGCATCCCATATAAAGTGGAGGAAGATGTGCATGGATGTTAGCCCAGGGCCAGCCTTCCTCAGCAAAAAAAAGAGGAAGATTGGCAGATGTTAGCTCAGGGCTGATCTCCTCACAGAAAAAAAAAAAAAAAAAAAAAATTCTGTTTTTTGATATGAGAAATTAAATAAAATTAAATGTATAATAAAAATGTAAAACAACACCATTTACAATACTATTAAAAACATAAAATACTTAAGGATAAATATAACAAAATATGTTCAAGACCTATACCTTGAAAACTACAAATCACTGTAGAGAAAAATTAAGGAAAATCTAAATAAATAATGGAGACATATGACATATTCATAGATTGGAAGACTCAATAATGTTAAGATGTCAATTTTCCTCAAATTAATCAATAAATTCAATACACTCCAAACAAAATGCCAGGAAGCAATTTTCTTTTAGAAACTGACAAGCTGATTCTAAAATTTGCAGTGAAATTCAAAGGACCTAAAAGATCCAAAACAATTTTCAAAAAGAACAAAGCTGATTTACCTGATTCAAGACTTACTATAAAATTACTGTAATCAAGTCAGTGTGGTATTGGCGTAAGGGCAGACATATAGATCAATGGAAGGGAATAAAGAGACCAGAAATAGACCATGCATACATGGTCAACTGATTTTTGACAAAGAGGCTGAGGTAATTCTACAGATAGTCTTTTCTAACATAGGAAAAAATCTTTGCTACCTTGGGATGAGCAAGATTTCTTAGGCAGAACATTAAAAACATGAACCACAGGGGCCAGCCGGGTGGCGCAACAGTTAAGTGTGCACACTCCACTTCAGGGGCCCAGGGTTCACAGGTTCGGATCCCAGGTGAGCGCCAATGCAACGCTTGTCAGGCCATGCTGTGGCGGCATCCCATATAAAGCAGAGGAAGATGGGCACAGACGTTAGCTTAGAGCCGGGCTTCCTCAGCAAAAAAGAGGAGGACTGGCATCAGATGTTAGCTCAGGGCTGATCTTTCTCACAAAAAAAAAAACAAAAAGAAAAACATGAACCACAAAAAAAAAAAAAAACGGATAAACTGAAGTTCATCAAAATCAAAAATTTTGCTTTTCAAAAGAAAACACACTAAGACAATTAAAAGGCAAGCCACAGACTAGGGTGCGGTTGGGGGGACAACCAATATATTTGACAACTTACCTCCAGAATATATAAAGAACTCTAACATTTCAATATCAGAAGAGAATGTGATGGGTGAAAAAAACAGGCAAAAGATTTGAACAGACACTTAATAAAAGAAAAATGGCCAATGATCACATTAGTCATTGGGGAAATAGAAATTAATTCCACATGGAGATAGCACTATAGTCATCAGAATTGCTAAAATTTAAAGAAATGACAATACCAAGAGTTGGTGAACATGCAGAATGATGAAACTCTCGTAAGCTGCCAGTGGAAGTGTGAAATAGCACAACTACATTGGGAAACAGTTTGGCAGTTTCTTACAGAGTTAAATATACACTTGACATATAACTGAGTAATTACACTGCAAAGTATTTACAGAAGACAAATAAAAACTTCATATCCACACAAAGACTTGTACCTGAATGGTATTGACGCTTCATTCAAAAAGACAAAAACTGGAACAACCCAAATGTCCGGTAACAGATGAATAGATAAACAAATTAAGCTATAAGCATATAATGGAATACTAGTCAACAATAAAAAATGAACTACTCTTACACACAACAAATTTAAAAAATCTCAAAAACCTTATGCTCTGAAATAAGCCAGATAAAAAAGGATAAATATTATATGATTTCACCTCTAAGAGTTCTCTAGAAGAGTCAAATTCACAGGGACACATAGTAGAACAGTGGTTACCAGGGGCTGGGGGAAGGGGAGAATAAGGAGTTATTATTTAATGGGTACAGAACTTTAGTGATGAGAAAGTTCTGGAGATGGATGGTGGAAATGGTTGAGCAGCAATACAAATGTACTTCATACCACTGCACTGTACACTTAAAAATGGTTAAGATCGTAAATTTTATGTTATGTATATTTTACCACGCACACATAAAAAATCATTATGCCAAGGGAAAAAAGCCAGAGAGAAAAGAGTACATAGAGTACAGCCATTTATTTGGCATGTCAGAACATGTAAAAACAAGCTATACTGACAGAAATGACATTAACGGCTGCTAGGGATGGGGGATAGAGGAGAGAACTGACTGTAAAAGGTCTCAAGATAACTTTTTAGAGTGACCTTACATTTGTGAAAACTCATTGAAATATAGACTTAAAATCTGTATGTATTATTGTATGTAAATTGCACTTTGATATATTTTTAAATAAATAAGCTTGAGGAAGGAATAAAATGAAACAGAACAGAAAATAATATTATAGACTCTTCTTTCTAGGAATGAGGTTATGTTGTGGAGTACAAAGAAGGTGGTAGCTAGAGGGAAATATATGGTCAAAGGAGTATTTTATTTCTCAAGATGAAAGAGAAATGAGTGTATTTAATGCCAATGGGAAACAGTTATTTGAAACCAGGCTGAAAATTCAGAAGTAAAAGAACATAGAGGCTAGGAATGTTTTGTTGGCAGTGTTTGAAGTATATGAAATTCTGTTCTCTACTTCCCCACTTGGACGAAACTGAGTTTTGCAAAAAAAGTAAAGTATGAGTAGAAAAAAGTAGACTGAAATATCCAACAGAGGAAACTTAGCAAATTCAAGAAACAAAGAACACATTTTTCAGGGCCGGCTCGGTGGCGCAAGTGGTTAAGTGCACGCGCTCCGCTGCGGCGGCTGGGGTTCGCTGGTTCGGATCCTGGGCGCACACCGATGCACTGCTTGTCAAGCCATGCTGTGGCGGCATCCCATATAAAGTGGAGGAAGATGGGCATGGATGTTAGCCCAGGGCCAGTCTTCCTCAGCAGAAAGAGGAGGATTGGCAGATGTTAGCTCAGGGCCGATCTTCCTCACAAAAAAAAAATATATATATAAAAAAAAAGAACATTTTTTTCACCGTATACCTGTACAATAACAGTAATTATAGTAATCATGGGATTTTCAGCAGTATATGCAAATCTGTACTAATACTAACATACTGATCCTCTACCAAGAATTACTAAAAAACTAGCATTTTGCTAGAAAGCAGAAGATTATTGAAACCAAAACATATACTCTAATATTTCAGGTATTCTCCAAGCCTGGCAGCTAAAATGAAATGGATCAGTCAGGGCAATAATGGCAAATCACGACCATTAACAAATGGAGCCAAACTAACGGTAATAGGTTTTCAATGCCATCAAACATATGTGATAAGGACATCCACAGCCCTCTATGTGGGCCTTGTGAGAAAATCGTCTTCAAATACTGAGAGTAACAATTAGAAACATTTTCCTAACACAAAGAACACTATTTGAAGTTGATGAAAACTCTACTTCAAGGACAAGAAAAGCCAAAGAATTCTAGTCAAAAAGGTTACTGCTTATCTCAGGTGGCATATCAAATTCAGACTAGGGCATGTACTCTAAATTCTCATACCCTGTATCCAAGCCCCCAAAACATCACTGCTTTTTGTCATCTTTTATACCTGCGATTCTATGATTTCATCAGGTAATTTTTTAACTTCAATCTTTTTATAAAAGCCTCTACAAACATTATTTTAAGGCCTCAACACAAAATATATTTTGAAACACACCTCATCTAGTTATCTTTAATTAGAAATAAAGAAGAAAAAGACCTTCTATTTCCAAATATGCAATTCAGTGATAAAAACTAGTACTATTTTGTCAACTTTTAGTTATGGCCTTTCTCTAAATTTAACTTTGACAATTTACATTATTACATTTCTCCATAGACATCTTCATTTATTATATTTTTAAGATTCCCCCAAACTGGACAAGTATATTGACAGAGAAATTACACCTACAAGACAGATATGCCTCATACACATTATTAATGAACTGGAGTAGTACATCCAAACAGCTAAGAAGTATCATTGCCAAAATTCAAAATCCCTTATTTGAAAGCATCAGGAGTTAGCAAAATGACAACAGATATTCTTGTGATAGATTACAGTAAAATGAATGTTCTTTTCTGTTCAGATGCTAAGGCAAACCCAAAGATAACTGCTATGCCTCTGATTACAATATCAACCTACATCAACAGTAGAATTAAGTTTCAAAATTTTCCCTCTTGATAGATGACAGCTGCAAATATTTGCACCAATTTGGGAAATTAAATAAACAAGAAAACGTAAATTGGAGAGTGGCTTGTACTGATGTTTCTTTCTTTTCTTTTTTTTTCTACTTTTTTTCCTGCTTAAAAGTATACTTTACCTTTTTTGGCACCACAGAATATCTTTTCTCTAAAAGTCTTTGCTCCTGTAAGTTCAATGACACAATGATATCAGAACATATTTGTAATTTTCTATTTTCAAAAACAATTGCCTCGGGGCCGGCCTGGTTGCACAAGCGGTTAAGTGCGTGTGCTCCACTTCGGCTGACACAGGTTCACAGGTTCGGATCCTGGCCACGCACCGACACACCGCTTGTCAAGCCATGCTGTGGCGGTGTCCCATATAAAGTGGAGGAAGATGGGCACAGATGTTAGCTCAGGGCCAATGTTCCTCAGCAAAAAAAGAGGAGGATGGGCACAGATGTTACTCAGGGCTGATCTTCCTCACACACACACAAAAAAACACAGTTGTCTCTCTTACATAATAATGCATCTCATATAAGGTTGTGTCTCACCTGGCCAATTCTTTAATTAAGTTTGCAATGCGTCTTTTGTCTTCAAGACATAAATCCTTCAGTGATGCACTCTTTATTCCTCCCCTGCAGAAATTCTAAAACAAACAAACAAGAACCTTTTGGTTAACTTTTGCTAAAAACAATTTTTAAGACTTTTCAAGAAATCTCTTAAAATAAGCACAGGAGGTGAAATTTCTTTGATATTGTTTATCTTGCAGAACACTATTTACCTGTTTCATTTAAACCTACTGTGAACTCAAAACAGGCTGAGGAACTGTCTGTCCACCAGGCGACATCATGAAATTTACAAAGAAAACCACACATAAAGAACTCAAAAGCAGAAATGTCTCTGCTTAAATATTAGAGAATAGTAAGAAAACAACTTTCCCTTGGTGAATGTCACAGAAACAAACACCTAATGGAAGGTACTGAGAACCTCTCCTACACCATAGCTCCCAGACTGCTTAAAGGTATACTAAAGTTGGCAGCAGAGGGACTAGTCTCTAAGCTCTCAATGTATCTTAAGGTTCATTCCAAAGGGTACTAGACCAAAGAGTAATAATAATAACAGCTAACACTTACATCTATCTAGTGCTTATTGTATGCCAGGAATATTCTAAGTACTTTACACTTATTAATCTATTTCATTTTCCCAACAATGCTATTAGGTAGGCATGATTCCTATTTTACAGTGAGAGTACATATCTGCTGGGATTACAGCAGTTAAGTAACAGAATCAAGACTCAAGCATAGCCACAGTCTGTACTATATTATCTCTTGTGCTACAAGAAGTTCTCCCAGTACCTGAACATCATTAAGAGAGGTCTTTAAAGCCATGAAACTCAAGAAGTCACAAGAGAACCAGAGGTAACATGTAAAATAAAATAACTATGATCTTTGGCATTTATGCAACCACAAAGTAGGTCAGTCCAATTACTTCAGGTAGCTAAGAATAATCCAAGACTCCTAAAATGAATTCTGGAAATACTGACAGCCAAAGATGGGAAAGATAGGAGAGAACAGGAAATGGGAAAAAGGAGGTGGTAAGAAAATAAAATAAGTTTGGTTTTAGATATGGTCAATTTAAGATGCCAGGAGGACATTCAGGTGTAGGCAGAAAGTTGAAAATGTGAATCTGGCTCTCAAGTCAGAGAAAACATAAAGATTTAAAATTTAGCCATATGATATTATAGATGATGCTTAGATTTTTATTATTTTCTTTATACTTTTCTATGTTTTAAATTTTTTAAAGTTAAGAAAAAATATTAGTTTTTTTAAATCATCTACAAATTCAAGAAAATAAATTAAAATCTTTATTTTTAAGGACAAGAGGTGAATCAGAAGCATATACTATTGTGGGAGAAAATAAAGAAAGAGTTTCAAGAAGAGTGTGGGGTTAAGAGTGCTAATGACAGAAAAAGCTAAACAGAATATGGAAAGAAGTCACTGGATTGGCAGTGGGAGAAGCTGCTGACAACCAACGAAAAGACACTTCAATAGTGGTGCAATGAGTAAAAGAACACACAAGAGAAACTCTTGCACATAGGTGAGAATTTTAGCAGCACTGTGTTTAACAGCAAAATCCTAAGAATCAGGTTTTATCAAGGAGAATAAACTGTGGTATATTTATACAATGCAAGTCGATAGGTACTGGCGTTATACTCCTGACTTTCATCTTCAAACCCACCCTTCCATGCTCTGCTATGTGATGCTGAGGCTGAGACTCTGGAAACCTCATTTCTTCTTTGCCACAAGGCTCTCTGCTAAACTCTGCCAGTAGGAAGAACTACAGGAAGACCAGAGGTTGTTAGAGGAAGAAAGGACACATTTGTTCCTATTTGCTTCCTGTGCCAACAGTGTCACCCCTGTCAGAGTTCTTCACTCTGGCAAGAACAGCTGATTCCAGTTTGCAATTTTTCCAGAACCAGCCTCTATCATGTCTCCTGGGAGATAGCAGTACCAGTCAGGCTGGTTCCCCATCATCAGAGGTCCAAGTTCCAGCTCTAAGGGGCTCCTCCTCAAAGCTTCTAAGTTTTAATAATTCCAGCTTGTTCTGTCTGTTCTCCCAGCCCTAGAGATGGGAGTTGTTTCTTGTAGTTACTACCTAAATGATTCCTTAGTGTTCCCTTTTTACCTTTCCAGTTCTCGAGCACCAATTTAACAAGTCTTTAAATATTCTCAGTTAAAATAACTGACTGAACCCTGACTAAGATATTAGTGAAAAGAAACGAAATATAACTATATACAACATAAATAAATCTCATGAACATAATGTTGAACAAAAAAACAACTCACAATATATACAACGTGAGCTCGTTTATATAAAGTTCGAAATATAAAACTAAACACAAATATGTATTTAGACTACATAGGACAGGGGTTGGTAAGTACAGCTGCAAGCCAAATCTGGCCCACTGCCTGTTTTTTTAAATAAAGGTTTATTAAAACACGGCCATGGACATTCATTTACATATTGACACATATATGGCTCTTTTCACACTACAGTAGCAGAGCCGAGTAGTTGAGACAGGCTAATAAAGGCGAAAGTATTTACTATCTGGCCCTTAACAGAAAAAGTCTGTCAAACCCTGACACAGAAAAACAAAAGAATGATACACACAAAATTCAGGATAGGGATTATCAAAAAAGATGATATAATAAGGGAAGGACACACCTGTACAGTCACTTGACTTACAATGGCATCACTGCAATTCAATGGGCAAAAGAATGGTCTTCTCAATAAAAGGTGCTGGACCAATTTTTTCGTATGAAAAAATGAACCATGACCCTAACTTAACACTATACATATATTAATTTCTGATGAATAATGGATTTAACTGTGAAAAGTAAAACAATGTGGCTTCTAAAAGAAAAGAGAGAACCTACTGCAAAGAGTGTAGCTAGCTAACAGCCTCACCTAACTACTGTCACACCTTCAGGATCCACTGCAGTGTTCGTGCCAATGCCAATGACTGGGAACAGCAAAGATACTAGAACTGGGCCATTTCTGCTTGACATGGCATCCTTAAAGACCAATATTTGCTCTGGGGTTCCCCATTAGCCTGACAGACACTATCTCAGACTGCAAGGCAATCTGAAGTCTGAAGCTCTTCCTAGTCAATCTTTCTCCTTTCTTTCTCCTCTCACAAATGGCAGACCTATAGTGAAATCTTAAGGCTCTCCCTGTCTATTCCTGCTCATTTTACTCTTTATCTTTTATAGGTGTTTCCTCCATTAAATCTCTTCCATTTCTAATTACATCTTGGTGTCTACCTCCCAGAAGACTTGAACTGACATAATTACCATTCTGAAAACATTAATGAATTAAGGACCTAGATACTGAACATCAATGGCTACAAAGATCATACACAGACAAACCACAAGACATTATATTCTTCAATGAAAAACACATACACCACCAGTTTTAGTTTTGAGAAAAAATGCATGCATACATACATACACAACCACATGTGGGACTTCCACATCCAGCCAAAAAGCAGTAACAGGGACCAGATTTATCCCACTGCCTAAAATAACCAAAAAACTTGTCAAAATATATGAAACAATGGTTTTCAGACATTGGACAGCAGGCAGCACAGGACAGTGATCACTGAAAGAGGGGAACCAAATAAGGTGAGCCCTACCAATTATCCTAGCTAATTGCCTGAGAAGAGTTTTCAGGGGTCACGTAGGGAAACCAAGATGGACCTCAGCAATCTTTCCCAGTTGAGAACATAGAGCTGGGAGTCCAGGAAAGCCATGGTATCTAGAATTTGCAAGGCAGAATAAAAGAGAGGATACAGCTACACAGCAAGAGAACTCCAGAGATCTACAGAGGGTCTCCTGCAAGTCAACAACTGAGTACTGACCATATGTTTATGAAGAGACCACCAAAAGCCAGGGAAAGAACAACCCAAAATGAACAGGGGGACTAATCTCCGTAGCTAATACAGTGCCAGGAATAGTCCATATTCCTGTAATTCCAGGGGCTCAGGAGGAGTATCAGAAGGGCACTGCCTATAGTGGGCAAAATCAGCCCTATACTAAAAGCTGCTCTGGTGTCACTTTAAACTAAGCTTTGAAAGGATCTAACTACTTCTAAATAATTAAATTCTGTCCCAGAGAAAAACCTCAAGATTATTTATAGAAATACAAAAATATCCAGAACTCAAAAAAGGTAAAATTCATACTGTCTGGTGGCATCCAATAAAAAACAATCAGGCAGGCAAAGAAGCAGGAAAATACAATCAATAATTAGGAGAAAAATTACTCAATCAAAATCTACCCATAAATGACTTATGACAGAATTATAAACAAGAACATTAAAACAGTTATTATAAATATATTCCATATGCTAAAGAAGTTAGAATAAAGACTGAGCACATTAAGTAGACATGAAATATATAAATAAAAACAAAAGACCCAAAGTGAACTTCTAGAGTTAAAAACTATACTGTTTTATATGGAAAATACAGTAGTTGAGATTAGTGGCAGATTAGACATCACAGAAGATGATTAATGAATTTGAGGACACAGCAATATAAACTATCCATAGATAAACACAGAACAACAACAACAAAAAACTGAAGATAAAAGAAAAAAAAAACAGAGGATCAGAGAGCTGTGGGGTAACTTCAAGTGGCCTAATATTTGTGTAATTGGAGTCCTCAAAAGTGAGGAGCGAGAGAAGGGGGACATAAAAATATCTGAAGACATAATGGCTGAAAAAATCCCCAATTTGATGAGAACTATAAACCCAAGGATCCAAAAAGCTCAACAAACCCCAACCAAAAGAGACATTTAGAATACCATAATCAAATTGCCTAAAACTAGTGACAAAAGAAAATCTGAAAACTAGCCAGAGTTTAAACTCACGCACATTATACACAGAGGAATAAAAATAAGGATGACAGCAGACTTCTCTCCAAAAACAATGCAAGCCAGGCAACAGTGCAGACACCATTAAAGCACGGAGAGAAAAAAACAATCAATTCAGAATTCTATAGCCAGAAAAATATCTTTCAAAAACAAAAGTGAAATAAAGACTTTTTCCGGCATACAAGAGCTGAAAAAATTCATTCCCAACATATCTGAA